ATGGGGTCTTTGTCTGGTTTTGGGATCAAGGTAATGGTGGCCTCATAAAACGAGTTTGGAAGTTTTCCTTCCGTTTCTATTTTTTGGAACAGTTTCAGAAGAATAGGTATTAATTCTTCTTGAAATGTTTGGTAGAATTCCCCTGGGAAGCCATCTGGCCCTGGGCTTTTGTTTTTTGGGAGATTTTTGATGACTGCTTCAATTTCCTTAGTGGTTATAGGTCTGTTTAGGTGTTCTGTTTCTTCCAGGTTCAGTTTTGGTAGTTGATACATCTCTAGGAATGCATGCATTTCTTCCAGGTTATCTAATTTGCTGGCATAGAGTTGCTCATGATATGTTCTTATAATTGTTTGTATTTCTTTGGTGTTGGTTGTGATCTCTCCTCTTTCATTCATGATTTTGTGGATTTGGGTCATTTCTCTTTTCTTTTTGATAAGTCTGAACAGGGGTTTATCCATCTTGTTAATTCTTTCAAAGAATCAGCTCCTAGTTTCATTGATCTGTTCTTTTGGTTTCTATTTCATTAATTTCTGCTCTGATCTTTATTATTTCTCTTCTCCTGCTGGGTTTAGGCTTTATTTGCTATTCTTTCTCCAGCTCCTTTAGGTGTAGGGTTAGGTTGTGTATTTGAGACCTTTCTTGTTTCTTGAGACAGGCTTGTATTGCTCTATACTTTCTTTTTAGGACTGCCTTTGCTGCATCCCAAAGATTTTGAACAGTTGTGTTTTCATTTTCATTTGTTTCCATGAATTTTTTTAATCCCTCTTTAATTTCCTGGATCACCCATTCGTTCTTTAGTAGGATGCTCTTCAGCCTCCATGTATTTGAGTTCTTTCTGACTTTCCTCTTGTGATTGAGTTCTAGTTTCAAAGCATTGTGGTCTGAAAATAGGCAGGGAATGATCCCAATCTTTTGGTACCCATTGAGACCTGATTTATGACCTAGGATGTGATCTATTGTGGAGAATGTTCTATGGGCACTAGGGAAGAATGTGTATTCTGTTGCTTTGGGATTGAATGTTCTGAATATATCGGTGAAGTCCATTTGGTCCAGTGTGTCATTTAAAGTCTTTATTTCCTTGTTGATCTTTTGCTTAGATGATCTGTCCATTCAGTGAGGGGGGTGTTAAAGTCTCCAACTAGTATTGAATTGCTTTCGATGTGTTTCTTTGCTTTTGTTATTAATTGCTTTATGTAATTGGCTGCTCCCATATTAGGGGCATAGATATTTACAATTGTTAGATCATCTTGTTGGATAGACCCTTTAAGTAGGATATAGTGTCCTTCCTCATCTCTTATTACAGTCTTTGGTTTAAAATCTAATTTGTGTGATATAAGGATTGCCACCCCAGCTTTCTTTTGGTGTCCATTAGCATGGTAAATTGTTTTCCACCCCCTCACTTTCAATCTGGGGGTGTCTTTGGGTCTAAAATGAGTCTCTTGCAGACAGCCTATCGATGGTTTCTGTGCCTCCTGGATTTTGATGCCTGGTTCCTTCCCCAAATTAGGGAAGTTCTCTGGTATAATTTGCTCCAATATACCTTCTGCCCCTCTCTCTCTTTCTTCTTTTGGGATCCCAATTATTCTAATATTGTTTTGTCTTGTGGTATCACTTATCCCTCAAATTCTGCCCTTGTGATCCAGTAGTTGTTTATCTCTTTTTCTCAGCTTCTTTATTTTCTACCATTTGGTCTTCTATATCACTCATTCTCTCTTCTCCCTCATTTATCCTAGCAGTTAGAGCCTCCATTTTTGATTGCACCTCATTAATATCCTTTTTGATTTTGACTTGTTTAGATTTTAGTTCTTTTATTTCTCCAGAAAGGGTTTCTCTAATATCTTCCATGCTTTTTTCAAGCCCAGCTACTATCTTTTAATCGTCCTTCTGAACTCTAGTTCCGACATCTTACCAATGTCAGTATTGATTAGGTCCCTGGCAGTTGGTACTGCCTCTTGTTCTTTTTTTTGAGGTGATTTTTTTCTGTCTTGTCATTTTGTCTAGAGGAGAATAGATGAATGATAGAACAAAATGCTAACAGGGTAACAACGACCCCAGAAAAATAGACAGTAAACAAATCAGAAGAGACCCAAAACCAGGGAAAAAGAAAGGGAAAGAAAGAAAAAAGAAAAAAAAAAAAGAAAAAGATTAACCCCCCCCCAACCAGAATATGATCAAATATGATCTGGCTTGTGCATAGATCAGTGCCACACACTAGATTTTGGGCATATTTTGGTCTGTTAGAAGAAAGTGCCTCCCAAAATTTTAATGAAAGAAAAATTTATATATGTACAAAAATAAGGGTATATATGATGAAGGGATGGAATATGACTGTAAAGATGAAAATTTAAAAGATTTTTAAAAGGAATTGATATAATAAGAAGTTGGTTGAAAACGAAAGAAGAGGATTTAAAAAAAAAAAAAGAAAAGGGAGAGAATGTGATCAGGCAGGAGACTAGAACAAAGCCATATATATAGAGATTTAGGGTATATTTTGGTCTGTTAGAAGAAACTGTATCCCAAAATTTTAAAAAGAGAACAACTTATATATATATACCAAAAATAAGGTTAACTACTATGAAAGGATGGAATATGACTCTAAAAATGAAAAATAAAAAAGATTTTTTAAAAAAGGGATTGATAACATGTTGGTTGAAAAAGGGAAAAAGAAAAATTAAAAAAAAAAGAAAAAGGAAAAAAGAAAATTAAAAAAATTAACTTTGAAAGACTAAAGAGTCATTGGAAAAAAGCCATGAATTCTTTTTTTTCAAGGCATTAATTCCATGTGCAGTATTACCCTAGTGCTGGAGTTCTGCCATTCTCATTGATGGGTAAACTTGGTTTTGGCTCGCTGTTCTTGCCGATCTTCTTGGGGAGGGGCCTGTTGCCATGGTACTCAAATGTCTTTGCCGGAGGTGGAATTGCCCTGCCCTTGCTGGGGGCTGGTCTAAGTAATCCACTCGGGTTTGCTCTCTGGAGCTTTTGTTCCCTGCAAGCTTTCCATATAGCTTTGGAGGACAAGAGTGAAAATGGCGGCCTCCCAATCTTCGACCTGGAGGAGCCGAGAACTCGGGGCCCCACTCCTCAGTGTGCCCCCAGAGAAAAGCAGTCAATCACTCCCGTCTCCCTGGTCTCTGGTCGCACTCCGTGCTCACCCGGCCTGTGACCGAGCATTTCTATCTCTGGCACATGACTGCATGTGGAGTCTCCAAACCCAGTAGATCGGTGCTATGTGCTCCCACGCCCCTCCTCCCACCCTTTCTCCCCCGGGGAGGTAGGGGAGTCTCCCTGGATCTGCCGCTTGTTGGGTCCCTGCTAGAATAGCAGTGGCCCGACTCTGCTGCCCATCACGGTTTATGGCAAACCCAAGCTGAGAGCCCACTCCTCAGCTCCGTCTTTGCAGCCAGCTTCCCCGTTCCAATATCTGGGAGTTCTGCCACACTCAGGCACCCCCAGTCTTTCTGTGACACCGGCGGTCCTGAGACCACACTGTCCCAGCGAGGGTTCCACCCCCCGCCTAGTCACTGGAGCGATGTCCCTCAGTGGAGCCGACTTCTAAAAGTTTCGATTTTGTGCTCTGTTGCTCTATCACTTGCTGGTAGCGGCTGACTGAGGCCCCCTTCCCCTGCTGTCTATCCTCCCGAATATCTCCTCGGATTCACTTCTCTGCATGTCCTACCTTCCAGAAAGTGGTCGCTTTTCTGTTCAGAGAGTTGTTGCTATTCTTTTCTTTGATCTCCTGTTGAGTTCATAGGTGTTTAGAATGGTTTGATCCCTATCCAGCTGAATTCCTGGGATCAGACGAAATCCAGGTCTCCTTCTCCTCCGCCATCTTGCTCCTCCCCCCTGATTTAATTCTTAATATGGACCTGGAGGCCATGACGGTTGGTGAGACAAATGACCTAGGTATTGTCATCAAAAGTTGTTTTTGTTGGGGCTCTGTCATATTGTTTAGAGGGAGGCTTCCTATCCTGGAAAGGGAAATCCAAGTATATTTGTCCATGTCACTCCCAATTGTTCCCTTCCCAAGGTTCAGATTCTAACTCCTTCCCTATCAGATCTGGTAGATTTGGGAATTAAGTTAGTGCTGTAGCCCTGCAGTCCTTATGCTTGGTGCATGATCCTCAGCCATGTCAATCCAACCACTATAGGAGATGAGGAGTTACTACAGTGCTGCTGCAGAGGCTTACTAACTGCCTATTTGCATTCTCAGTTGCTCAGTCATAGCTTTCCCTTTATATTTCTCATAATATGTATCCTCTAGTGCTATCATAACAATCCAGTTGAACCCTAAGTTTTTATTAGAGCTTGTCATTAGAACAGTGAAGTGCCTTGATCTTCCTCACAACCTGCCCTCACCTGTACCTTATTCAATGCCAGACGTGGTAGTAACTGGAGAAATCATGATGTTATTGCATATCATGAATTACCAGTGTCACATCTCTCCTTGGCAAGGAAGTTATCTCTGCACTTGTTAAATATGTGAGCGGCATTATACAAGAATGCTACCTTGGATGTCTTTCTGTTGTTTCTCCTGATATGAGTTACTGAGTCATGGAGAATCCTGTTAGGAAGCTGATAGCACACTTAAATGGAGTAATTGGTTACATGGCCACTTTCTGTGCTGGGAAGCAGAATATCATGTGGACTATTCTAAATGAGTACAAGAGCTATCATAAGAAATTATGTAAATTGAAGATCATGTTCTATATAGCCAAAAAATATAATGAAAAACAGCCCTTTTATATAGTTATGATAGCTACTTAAGAATTATATTAGGTATTCTGTTGTTAAATCATGATAGAGATTGGCATAGATTCAATTTGCTTATATCTCAATAAAATTTCATAAGAACTTTAGCTTTTCACCTGTCCAAGGAGCTGTATTTTCTATTCTTAAGTATTTGATAAAATAATAAATATGTTCAAAATTAGAAAATTATTACTTTTTATCACCTTTCAATGACTTGTCTTTCATTTGAATTTTTGTTTTTGTTAATGTAGTACCCCAAGGAGATAACTTTGGAGGCATTTTCCATTATTGTTACGCAGATGCTTGGACTCAGTCTGGGAATATCCTATGATGACACAACGAAATGTCGCTGTTCAGGAGCCATTTGTATAATGAATCCAGAAGCTATGTAAGTTTATTTAAAAGTAAGATTTATTGGTTATGTTTATTTTGTTTTAAATATTTGAAGTGCAAAATTTAGTGTTAACTTATAGTACCAATTAGCTATAAATGGACCAAGTACTACAAAATATAAACCTGAAATTTTAAGTGTAAGAGAGTTGGAAAGAGATGTACCATTAAGAACAAAGATAACAAATCTAATTTCAAAGATATATTAGCAAGGGAATGAGACTGTATTTTGTGAAATCTCATAGTGAGGATTGTTAAAAATATGTCAGAATAGAGTGGCAGGATGGATAAAAGAACAAGACCCATCTGTATGCTGCCTACAACAGAAAAACACAAACTGAAAGTGAAGGTTTGGAGAAAGATATTACATGCAAGTGGAAGCAAAAAGAATCTGGAGTAGCAATAGCTGTATCAGACAAAATAGACTTTACTTTTTTTAAGGCAACAAAAGTATTTATTACAGGAAATGTCAGAACTTTGCTTCATTACAAATAATTTGTTTTTAATATTATTTTGATTTTGATTCTTTTTTTTGTTGCATTTTTTTTTTTTTTAACATTTTAGGTAGTTAACATACACTGCAATATTGGTTTCTGGAGTAGAATTCAGTGATTCATCACTTACATACAATACCCAATGCTCATCATAACAAGTGTTCTCCTTAATACCAATCACCTATCTAACCCATCCCCCACCCACCTCCCTCCATCACCCCTCAGTTTGTTCTCTATTGTTTAGAGTCTCTTACAGCTTGTTTCCCTCTCTCCTTTTTTTCTTTTCCCCCTTCCCATATGTTCATCTGTTTTCTTTGTAAATTCAACATATGTGTGAGGTCATAGGGTATTTGTTTTTCTCTGGCTGACTTATTTCACTTAGCATAATACACTCCAGCTCCATCCAAGTCATTGCAAATGGCAAGATTATATTCTTTTTAATGGCTGAGTAATATTCCATTATATATATATATACACCACATCTTTATCCATTCATCAGTTGATGGACATTTGGGCTTTCTCCATAATTTGGCTATTGTTGATAATGCTGCTATAAATTTTGGTGTGCATGTATCCCTTTGAATCACTATTTTTGTATCATTTGGATAAATACCTAGAAGTACAATTGCTGGGTCATAGGGTAGCTCTATTTTCAACTTTTTGAGGAACCTCCATACTGTTTTCCAGAGTGGCTGCACCAGTTTGCATTCCCACCAGAAGTGTAAGAGGGTTCCCCTTTCTCTGCATCTGGCCAACACTTGTGGTTTTAGCCATCCTGACAGGTTTGAGATAGTATCACATCATGGTTTTGATTTGTATTTCCAAAATGATGAGTGGTGTTGAGCATTTTTTCATCTGTTAGCCATCTGGATGTCTTTTTTGGAACAGTGTCTGTTCATGTCTTCTGTCCATTTCTTAATTGGGTTATTTATTTTTTAGGTGTTGACTTTGATAAGTAAAGTCTTTGTAGATTTTGGATACTAACCCTTTATCAGATATGTCATTTGCAGATATCTTCTCCCATTCCATATGCTGACTTTTAGTTTTGTTGATTGTTTGCTTTGCTGTGCAGAAGGTTTTTATCTTGATGAAGTCCCAATAGTTCATTTTTGGTTTTGTTTCCTTTGCCTGTGGTGAGTGTCTAGTAAGAAGTTGCTATGGCCTAAGACAAAGACATTTCTGCCTATGTTCTCCTCTAGGATTTTCATTATGGTTTCCAGTCTCACATTAAGGTCTTTCATCCATTTTGAATTTATTTTTGTGTATGGTGTAAGAAAGTGGTCCAGTTTCATTCTTCTGCATGTTGCTGTCCAGTTTTCCCAACACCATTTGTTGAAGAGACTGTCTTTTTTCTACTGGATGTTCTTTCCTGCTTTGTTGAATATTAGTTGACCATATAGTTTTTGGTCCATTTCTGGGTTCTCTATTCTGTTCCATTCATCTGTGTGTCTGTTTTTATGCCAGTACCATAATGTCCTGATGACTATAGCTTTATAATATAGCTTGAAATCTGAAATCATGATGCCTCCAGTTTTGTTTTCTTTTTCAGAATTGCTTTGGCTATTTGGGGTCTTTTGTAGTTCCAGACAAATTTCAAGATTGTTCTATTTCTGTGAAAAGTGCTGGTGGTATTTTGATAGCGATTGCATTAAATACGTAGATTGCTTTGGGTAGTATAGACATTTTAACAATGTTTTTCTTCTAATCCATGGGCATTGAATGTTTTTCCATTTCTTTGTGTCTTCCTCAATTTCTTTCATAAGTGTTCTATAGTTTTGAGAGTAGAGATCTTTTACTTCTTTTTTTTTTAAAAAGGTTTATTTATTTATTTATTTATTTATTTATTTATTTATTTATTTGAGAGAGAAAGAGAGAGATCACATTTGGGGGGAGATGTAGAGGGAGAGAATCTTCAAGCAGACTCCCCGAGGAGCACAGAGCCTGATGTGGGGCTGGATCTAACAACCCATAAGATCATGACTTGAGCCAAAACCAAGAGTCGGATGCTTAACCAACTGAGCCACCCAGGTACCCCTAGGTATTTTACTTCTTTAGTTAGATTTATTCCTAGGTGTCTTATTGTTTTTGGTGTAACAGCAAATGGGATGGATTCCTTGATTTCTCTTCCTGCTGCTTCATTATTGGTGTATAGAAATGTAACAGATTTCTGCACATTGATTTTATATCCTGTGATTTTGCTGAATTCATGTATGGGTTCTAGTAATTTTTTGGTGGCATCTTTTGTGTTTTCTACATAGAGTACCATGTCATCTGTGAGTAGTGAAAGTTTGACTTCTTCCTTGCCAATTTGGACGCCTTTTTTTCTTTTTGTTGTATGATTGCTGTGGCTAAGATTTTCAGTACTATGTTAAATAGTAATGGTAAAAGTGAACATCATTGTCTTGTTCCTGACTGTAGGGGAAAGGCTCTCAGTTTTTCCCCGTTGAGGATAATATTAACTGTTGGTTTTTCATATAGTGCATTTATGATGTTGAGGTACGTTCCATCTATCCCTACTTTGTTGAGGGTTTTTATCATGAAAGGATGCTGCATTTTTTCAAATGCTTTTTCTGCATCTATTGAGAGCATCATATGGTTCTTATCCTTTCTTTTATTAATGTGGTGTGTCACATTGATTGATTTGTGGATGTTAAACCACCCCTGCAGCCCAGGAAAAAAAATCCCACTTGGTCATGGTGAATAATCCTTTTCATGTAATGTCGAATTTGATTTGCTAGTATTTTATTGAGAACTTTTGCATCTATATTCATCAAGGTTATTGGCCTGTAATTCTCCTTTTTAGTAGGATCTTTGTCTAGTTTTGGAATCCAGGTAATGCAGGCTTTGTAGAATGAGTTTGGAAGTCTTCCTTCCACTTCTGTTTTTTGGAACAGTTTCAGAAAGGTAGGTATTAACTCTTCACATGTCTGGTAGAATTCCCTTGGGAAGCCATCTGGGCAGGACTTTTGTTTGTTGGCAGATTTTTGATTACTGGTTCAGTTTATTTGCTGGTTTTGGGTCTCTTCAAATTTTTTATTTCTTCCTGTTTCAGTTTTGGGAGTTTGTAAGTTTCTGTGAATTTGTCCATTGCTTCCAGGTTGCCCAATTTGTTGGCATATAATTTTTTATGGTATTCTCTTACGATTGTTTTTATCTCTGCAGTTTTGGTTGTGATCCTTCCTCTTTCATTCATGATTTTATTTATTTGGGTCCTTTCTCTTTTTCTGTTTGATAAGTCTGGCTGGGGGTTTAACAATCTTGTTAATTCTTTCAAAGAACCAGCTCCTGGTTTTGTTGATCTACTGTTCTACTGTTTTTGTGTGTTCTATATCATTGATTTCTGCTCTAATCTTTATTATTTCCCCTCTCCTGCTGGATTTAGGCTTTATTTTCTCTTTCTTTTCTAGCTCTTGTAGGTGTAAATTTAGGTTGTGTGTTTGAGACTTCTCTTGCATCTTGAGGAAGGCCTGCATTACTATATACTTCCCTCTTAGGACCACCTTTGGTACATCCCAAAGGTTTTAGACTGTCATGTTTTCATTTCCATTTGCTTTCATGTATTTTTAAAGTACTTCTTTAATTTCCTGGTTGACCCATTTATTCTTTAGTAGGATGTTCTTTAACCTCCATGTATTTGTGGTCCTTCTACATTTTTTCTTGTGGTTGACTTCAAGTTTCATAGCACTGTGGTCTGAAAATATGCATGCTAAGATCTCAATCTTTTTGTACTTTTTAAAAAAAGATTTTATTTATTTATTTGTCAGAGAGAGAGAGAGAAAGCACAAGCAGGGGGAGCAGCAGACAGAGGGAGAGGGAGAAGCAGACTCCCCGCCAAGCAAGGAGCCCAATGTGGGGCTCGATCCCAGGACCCCGGGATTGTGACCCGAGCCAAAGGCAGACGTTTAACCGACTGAGCCACCCAGGCATCCCTCAATCTTTTTGTACTTGTTGAGGGCTGATTTGTGACCCAGTGTGTAATCTATTCTGGAGAATGTTCCATGTGCACTCAAAAAGAATGTATTCTGCTGCTTTAGGATGAAATGCTCTGAATATATCTGTTAAGTCCATCTGGTTCAGTGAGTCATTTAAAGCCCTTGTTTCCTTTTTTTTTTTTAATAATGCTCCTTGCTTTTTCTTAATTTTTTTATTAACATATAATGTATTATTTGTTTCAGGGGTACAGGTCTGTGATTCATCAGTCTTACACAATTCGCAGCGCTCACCATAGTACCTACCCTCCCCAATGTCCATCACCAGCCACCCCATCCCTCCCACCCCCCCTCCACTCCAGCAACCCTCAGTTTGTTTCCTGAGATTAAGAGCCTCTTATGGTTTGTCTTCCTCTCTGGTTTCATCTTGTTTCATTTTTCCCTCCCTTCCCCTATGATCCTCTATCTTGTTTCTGAAATTCCTCATATCAGTGAGATCATATGATACTTGTCTTTCTCTGATTGACTTATTTTGCTTAGCAAAATACCCTATAGTTCTATCCACATTGTTGCAA